GTCATGGGCCCATCATGAGTGATTCTGTCTGTCTTTTATTCATTCATTCACTTATTAAACAGCTAGTATGAGCCAGGTCCTGTTGTAGACACCAGCATTTGACAGTGGACAAAACACACAAAAATCTCTGTTCATGTGGAACTTACATTCTAGTGGGAGGAGACAGGCAATAAATAATAGTAAAAATACATAAGTGCACACAAAGCATGCTAGGGATAACTGAGAAGAAGAAATTTAGGGGTGAATAAGAATGGAGTGAGGTTGGGCTGGCAAAGTGGCTAAAGTGGTAGAGTGCCTGCCTAGCAAGCACAAGGCCCTGAGTTCGAACCTCAGTACCACCAAAAAGAAAAAAAATGGAAGGAAGTTGTCATTTTAGTGAGTCAAGAAAGGCTTCACTAAGAGGCAACATTGGAACAAAAATCTGAAGCTGGTAAAGGAACCAGCAGGTGAATGTCTGGGAGTGTTGTTCTGGGCTGAAGAAATGTGCAAAGGCCCTGAGGTTGGACTGGAACTGGCTTGTTCAAGAAAATCTGAGGAGGAAAGCGTGGCTGGGTATAGTAGAAGGAGAAGAATAGGATGTGAGGCCCAAGAAATAAAAAGGGGCTCTGTGAGGCCATCGTGTCCTTTGTAAGGATTTTGCTTTTATCTGGATGAGACAGGAAATGACTAGAGCGTTCTGAGCAAAGTAAGATATAACCTAAGTGTTCATAAGATCACCTTGTAATGGGTGGAAAGCCAGGAGACCTGTAATAAACCTGTTGCCAGAGTGCAAGTTAGACTTGGTGGCGTGGACCAGGGTGGTCACAGTGGGGTGTTTGGACAGTAATCAGTATTACTGCTGGTTTGACATAGGATTTATTTCTTAAAAAGATTACCCGGGCAGCCATGCGGATGAAGGATTGGCGCATCAAGATAATGAGGTGGAATAGTTCCCAAAGCCCCAGGCCCCAGGAATAAAGATGAAAACCTCACAAGGAATTCAGGCTCAGCCTTTTTCATAGGTTGAGAGCCAACTTTTCGACAAGGGATAGGAATAGATGAGACTTACAAGTTTGGAAATTACTTTGTTAATCTTGCCAAGGAGATCAGGTGAATAACATGGTCAAGTGTGTTCATAGACCCTCCCTCTTTGGAGCAGTGTCCGTGCATTGTCTCATTTAGTCCTTGCCATAACCCATGGGTGACAATGGCGACCTTGGTCTCCATTGAGGAAAGTCGGACAGAAAGGGCTGAGCTGCCTCTGAAGGTCTTTGGTATGATGCTTCTTTCTGAAAGGTCTCATTGGCAAATTCAAAATTGTCTGCTCATCTCTAAAATTAAAAGTAAAAGGTGATCACCTATTTCTATTTGTGGTGGTGATAGTGCCACGTGGTTGGCCCCTCCTGGGTAGAAAGGTATGTTATTTCAATGCTCTTAGTTGCCAGTGATGGAAATTAGCTTAAGAATCATGAGTAAGAAATGACTCAAACAATGTATGCACATGTGAATAAATTAATAATAATAATAAAAAAAGAATCATGAGTAAGGATGGGTGGAATTGCAAGAAACTGCCCTGTGCAGGGAGGGAAAGTGTGTTGGGAAGGGGTCTAGGAGACACAGCTGGATCCAGAGGTTCCTGTGCTGCCCTCAGGTCACAGGTTGTGTCCTTTCCACCTCTGCAGTGCAGAGCTTGGTCCGGGCATCTTTTACAGATGGCTTCCACACGTGGCCAGGAGGGCTGCCCACTTGCATCTTCAGAGAAAGGAATGTTCACCCCAACTTGATTCCACCCTGGAGCAAAACTGTCTTTCCAGCAAGCTTCAGCCAAAGTATGACTTATGTGGTCTCAGCCCCAGCTCCCATTCCTGGGACCTAAGGTGCAAGATCAGCGCCTCTGAGGGATAGTTAAGGACCATGGGGCAGCTGTCGCCAGCCCAGCACTGTATGTTTATCAGAAGTAGTGGGTGTGGGATGGTGGTTGCCTCTACATTGGCACTGTGGGAGGATGTGTGACAGTCCCTCAGTTCTTCTGAGTTACCGTTTTGTTGTTGTTGTTTTTGTGGGACTGGGGTTTGAACTCAGGGCTTCCCTCTTGCAAAGCAGGCACCTAACTGTTTAAGCCACACTTCCAGTCCATTTTGCTGTGATTGTTTTGGAGATGGGGTCTCGAGGACTGTTTGCCCAGGCCTGCCTCAAACCTCGGTCCTCTCAATCTCAGCCTCCCAAGTAGCTAGGATTACTTGTGTGAACCACCAGTGCCTGGCTTGGAGTTAGCAAATTTAAAAAAAAAAAAATTTTTTTTAAGTTTTTGCTGGTACTATGGATTGAACCCAGGCCCTTGCACTTGCAAGACAAGTGTTTACTGCTTTGAGCCTCACTCCCAGGCCTCACCTTTTTTTTTTTTTTCTTTAAATGGAGTCTCGCTATGTTGCCCAGGCTGGTCTTAAAACTTCCCTAGGAGCTTGGGACTATAGACGTGAAATGCTTTATTTAATTTTATGTATGTATGTGTTTATCTTCGGTGCTGGGTATGGAACCCAGGGCCTTGTGGATGCTAGGCTAGTGCTCTACTACTGAGCTACACCCTAAGCTCTACTTTATTTTTAAGGACAGTAATGTGATTTAGGGTCCAGAACCTTTCCTAGAACAGATGTTTGGTCTGGATTTGCCCCAGCTGGGCTGGCAGGGGAAGGCGGTCAGTCTCTGCTCAGAACCCACACTGTCCTTTCACTATTTCCCTTAAAAAGTTACTTCCTTTTTCCCTTCTCAAAGGAAGTGATGACAGGTGGAGTAAACACAGATCGCTTTTTAAAAGTATTCTTCATCTTGCTGTTTTGAAACCCTGGTCCAAATGTAGATACTAGGTTTTAATTGTAATCTGACACACACATAACTTTGTTTACTTAACGAAACACTGTATAATAAAACAATATTTACCTCTTACTAAACGCAGTGCACTCTAATCATTTCTGTTCATTTGAGATGCAATTTAAAATGAATAGAAGCATCAGATACAACCACTATCAATTTATTCCCCCACCCACTAACAGGCAGCATCAGAACCCAAGAAGCCTGAATTAAACCAGTGAAAAACAAGCAGTGATTCCATCTTACTAGCAGAGCTGTGGCAACAAACTAACTGTAATCCATGAGGCTCAAACAACATGCTCTTTCTTTCATGGTTCTGGAAGCCAGAAGTCCAAGATCAAGGTATTAGCAGAGTTGATTTCTTCTAATTGCTGAGAGAGAGTCTGTCCTGTGCCTCTCCCCTGGCTTCTTCTGCTGGCTTGGTGGCAAATTTTGGTGGTCTTCAGCCTGTGGATGTACCACCCTGACCTCTGCCTCATTGTCACATGCTGTGCTGCTTGTGTGTGTATATCTGTATCCAAATTAAACCCTCTCCCTTCTTTTGGTGGTACTGGAGTTTGAACTCAAGGCTTTGCCCTTGCTAGGCAGATGTCCTGCCGCCTCCAGCTCTGCTCTGGTTATTTTTGAGACAGGGTCTTGCTTTTTGTCCAGGCCAGCCTGGGCCTGATCCTCCTTTTTTTATACTTTCCGCTATAGCTGGAATGACAGATACACACCACCACACACAGTTTTTTTTTTTTCCTCTTGAGATGTGGTGTTCTCATGAGCTTTTTTTCCTGGCTAGCCTGGAGCAATGATTCTCAGATCTCAGCCTCCCAAGTAGCTAGGATTACAGGTGTGAGCCACGGGCTCATATTAATTCCTTTTTAAGACTACCAGTCACATTGAGTTAGTGGCCCACCCTCCTTCAGGATGACCTTTTCACAGCTAAATTAACTGCATCTTCCATGACCCTATGACCATATGGCTACATTCTGAGGTACTGAGGGCTCTGGGTGGAGAACATAATTCAACCCATGACAAATTATGAAAACACACAATTGAAAATAAATTATAAAAGTTCCCTTTTACTGATCTCTTATCATGTGGCAGGTTTTCAGCTAAACATTTATTTCATTAACTCAGTGATGCCATCTTGCTTCATTTTATATAGCCGAGGAAGCAGAAGCGAAGAGACATTTAACCTTGGGTGTCCTTGATTGTGGAGCCCAGGCTGTCCCCTGTGTACTTCACTACTGTCCATGTTCATAGACGATCAAGAAGGAGCCACACTTGGCCATTTGATAGTAAAGCACTTCAAAACCATGCTGATATTCATTGTAATAAAACCTCCTGAAAGGACTCACAGGTGCCAGTCCCTAAAACCCCTGCCAGAGAGGTCTGGATCACTCACTCTTGGGAGATGGCCAGCAAACCAATCCTTAGTTATCTTGTCCACTGGGCTTTTCCTGTGCCACACACCATTGCATTCCTAGTGAAGCCAGCGCCCAGCCACAGGGTCCCTGTATGCGTTTTCATGCTCTTTCTGAATTTAGATCAGGGTGACGAGTAGAGAGAAGGAAATGAGCCAGAAAATAGAAAATTAATACTTGGTAAAATTGTCATATTTTAAAATGAATTTATAGGCAATGTCAGATAACAGGAGTTAAATCATTTTACCAACAGGCCGCTCTTGGATTTAAAAAATTGGCATCCATCATTATAAATCAGGTCTGGGGAGCCCCAGGGAATGTTCCCTGGGGATGAGGGCTGATATAGGGTGGGCAGAAATGTAAATACTCGATTAGCTGGGTCCTTCTCTTTCACACAGAACCTAAAATATTTCTACATCATATTGAGTGATCATGGTATGTTAAATGGTAATGGGAGGGTTTAGGTTTATGGTGAGCCTACATTTAGTACTTAATCTTCCTCCCTGACAACCCTGGGAAGCCGGTGAGAAGACAGGTAAGTGCTCATTTCAGGGTGGCATTCCTGGCTTGCATTTCTAGGGATGACTTAACTTCCTTCTGCAGAGGTCCCTATTTCCCCAAGGTTGGGGTACCATATTTCTGGCCTGGGCCTGTGGGCACGTGCATCCTCTAACTGCCCACATTCATTCTGGGAAAACCTTCTGTGATTAAAGACCTGCCTTTCCTCTCCTGATGTTGCAGCTCTCTGTCATGGGCGTGTGGTGAAAGTCCCCGCAGGGACCTTGGTCCGCGTGGTGGGCACTGAGCTCGTCATCCCCTGCAACGTCAGTGACTACGATGGCCCCAGCGAGCAAAACTTTGACTGGACTTTCTCATCTTCGGGGAGCAGCTTCGTGGAGCTGGCAAGCACCTGGGAAGTGGGCTTCCCAGCACAGCTGTACCGGGAGCGGCTGCAGAGGGGCGAGATCCTGTTGAGGCGAACTGCCAACGACGCTGTGGAGCTCCACATAAAGAACGTGCAGCCCTCAGACCAAGGCCACTACAAGTGCTCCACCCCCAGCACAGATGCCACCGTCCAGGGCAACTATGAGGACACAGTGCAGGTTAAAGGTACAGTCCTCATACGAGGGTCAAGACACTATGGGCCAGACCTTCCTCAGCCACTCTTCTGCATGCGACTTTGTCACCAGACTTAAAGCCACTGTTCAATCGAGTCAGAGTGTCTTTCCTGATTAAAGGCAGAGGGTGGACCCGTGACCTCTGGGGCTCTTTCTCTCCTCTCTAGGGTGGTCCTGAAGCGTCCATGGCGCTTGGTGTGGTGGTAGAGAGTCCAGCCCTGGAGCCAGGTTGTAGTCCAGTTGCTGGCTTGTCACTTAGATGTGGTGGGCATGTTATGTGCCTCGGCTTCCTCCTTTGCCCTGCAGAGCCTGCCTCAAAGGGTGTGAGGCCTAGCGAGTTAACCTGTGCCAGGTCTTAGAGCAGGGCTTGCACTGAACACAAGCAACATTCAGTGGCTAGTGACAAGAAAGTGATGGTCACGGTGACACCATCCCGATACTTCAAGCTTTATGTCTTCCTTTGTGACCTTCATTGTTTTAAGTACCTGCTTGCACCAGAAGTTGTATGTGTTATACGTGGAGAAAGGACCCCGTGGTCATTGCTAGCTCACTGACCCAGCTGTGCAAATAGCCACAGTGTACGGATCTGAGATGTCTTGGGTTTTGTTTTTTTTTTTTCCCTGTAGTCCCAGTCCTTTAAGAATTGCTCACACATTCAGTTCTCTAAACCCTATGAAGACGATAGGGCAGAATATTTTCCTGATTTACGTATGAAAAAATGGAAGAGCATAGGTTAATCACTTGCCTAAAATCACACAGCTAATTAGTAAATGAGCCAGAACAAACCATTTTAATTTGAGGCTAACAAAATAGAAACCTTATTGTTATTATTATTATTACTTCATTATGCATTTATCTGTGCCCTGCTTTGTTCCCAAAAGGACTTGTATCAGGGTAGGAATTCATATAATTATCAGGAAAGCAGAAATGGTGACCTACCATATCTCAGATTCTCTTCCCTCCTACATCCGTGAGGGGATAAAATATCAGCCATATTAAATATGTATCAAAGCCTTATCACATCAAATCTACATCTTCCCTTACCTATTCCTCATTCCCATAGGAAATCCTGAATAAGCATGCGTGTATGTTTGGTTTTGGTTTTTTTGGTTTTTTTTTGAAAGATTTTTCTTTTTTAAGATTTTTTCATTAAGACTTTCTTGCTTTGGAGCTAAATAATTCAACACAACACCCCATCCCTTAGCTCAGAGGCACCTTTGTTTCCTCTGATTTTCATCTGGAGGTGTGGGAAGGTGCAGAGAAGTGTTCCCCACCTCCCGTACCAATGTCCTTCTATTTCTTCTTTGGTCCTTGGAAGGCAGGAGAACCAAAGGGAAGCTTTTCTTGACTCAGGAGAGTGGGTGGATGACCATGAGTGAGACTAGTTGGCTACCCAGGGGTGGAGCCTGGGACGGTTGCTATGCGTGGTCCAGGTCTGTCTGGCCTTCAGTTCAGCTTCACGGGTCTTAAACGTGTTCACCCATGCCCTGAGAATGGAGCTGGTCTTGAGAACCAACTCAAATTAACCAGACTCACAGATTGATGTATATACTAGGAGACCATCGTACTCATTATTGTAGAAGAGATGGGTCTTTGGGAGGTGTCCTGAAGAGTTCATGGTTTTCCTGTTATCTAGAGTAGTCCCAAAGACACTGAATTTGTTTCTGAGTGTGGAATTGTGGTGAAAACTAAAGAGAGAATGTTGTTTGAGGATTCTCTTATCCAGCTCAGAGATAAGCCCAGTGGATTTTCCTGCCCCTTGGAGTAGTCCCCCTCTCTGGTTACCAGAGTACAGCAATCTGTTGCTTATTACTTTTTCTTTTTCTTGTTTTTTGGCAGTACTGAGGTTTGAACTCAGGGCCTCACACTTGCCAGGCAGGCGCTTTACCACTTGAGCCACTCTGTGAGTCCTCCACTTTTTCTAAATCAGCCCATGGGTGCTTCTTTGATTTTGGTCTCCTTTCTAGATTCTAGAAAAGTGCTGTCTTCTTCTAGTAGGTCCTGATAGAGGGAGCCGTCAGCTTTCCTTGGCCTGTTCTACCCGAGGATATGTGCCACTCACAGTGGCCATTCTTGGGCAGTTCCTGGGTCACGAGCCACGGGCAGCTCCTACATCCCTCTCACCCTGCATGTATTTCTGCTTTAACTCTTAGAGGGCTGCCTCTTCGCAGCCTATGGGCTGCCTACTCCAGCCCTCTGTCCTAACCAAGGAGTGTTTAGCAGTCACATGTAGTTATTTTACCATCATGCCCTGAAGAAAGTCTGGTTGTCACCCCCTTGTGAGGAACACAGGGGTAGAATAATGTGCCTCAGAGTGACAGAAGCACATCCCCGAAGCTCCTCCCCCAAAGGGAGTTTTCATTCACCACCCCGTTCAGTTCAGAGAGGAGTTTTATTAGCTCCCTCCCTTTCTCCCTCTCTCTCTCCCGCCCGCCTTCCTTTATCCTCCCTCCCTCCTTTCCTTCCTTCCTTCCTCTTTTTTCTTCTTCAGATGGGAAAATCAATCATGATTATAAGTGAATCAAAACGGGAAGGCTCTACATGTATGAACTGGAACCCTGAAACCTGTCCAAGTCATTTCAAGAGGGGGAGAGGGAAATGAGGAAGACTAATAGGGGGCACGAGCCAGACCTGTGTACAATACATGTATATAAGGAAATGTCACAAGGAAACTCCTGTGTAACTATCATATACTAATAAAAAGCGTTTAAAAAAAATGAGCTGCCCACCTGGGCATCAGAACACAAAGGAAGATGGACTTGTCCTTGGTTGCAGCCTCCAGCCTGACCTAAGGCCAGAGTCCTGGAAGGTGGCAGGGCCTGGTGGCATGGTGGCTGTGGACTGATGGTGGCCATGGACTGATGGCTTTTCTCTCTCGTCCTGCAGTGCTGGCCGATGCCCTGCACGTGGTACCCGGCGTGCGGCCCCCACCCAGCCTCAGCCTGCGGGAGGGCGAGCCCTTTGAGCTGCGCTGCGTGACGTCCACTGCCTCCCCGCTGCACACGCACCTGGCGCTGCTGTGGGAGCTGCACCGGGGCCCCGTGCACCGCCCGGTCGTTGCACTCACCCACCAGGGCAGGTTCCACCCGGGCCCAGGCTACGAGCAGCGCTACCACAGTGGGGACGTGCGCCTGGACACCGTGGGCAGTGATGCCTACCGCCTGTCTGTGTCCCGGGCACTGTCCGCTGACCAGGGTTCCTACAAGTGTGTCATCAGCGAGTGGATCGCCGAGCAGGGCAACTGGCAAGAAATCCAAGAAAAAGCCGTGGAAGTTGCTACCGTGGTGATCCAGCCAACAGGTGAGCTTCGGGAGACGATGTGTTATAGACTGTCCTTTGTGACCTGTGACGGGGGTAAGAACCAGGCCAGGGAGCCTGCTGCTTTGTGCCTGTGTGTGAAACCTTCCCTGGGGTGCAGGGAGCAGGACGGTGGTGGGCGTTTGGGGAGGGGTGCATCTGTTTTGAGCTGTATTCTAGTTTGTATAGCACCTGCATTTATCTGAACCTGTGTCTGTGGGGCATCCCCACTCCATTACAGGGAGGCGCTTCTCTCTCTCAGAGGTCAGGAAGGCAGCTCTTCTCAGAATGAAGTTCTGCCCGTGTCCCCTGAGGATTTAGGGTGGCTCTGCTCACACCTGCTCCCTTGGCTTTATCTTGTTTGCTATTTCCTGAGTGCTTGGATTTCCCTTTCCTCATGGCTGTTGGGGTGTGTATCTGGCTGACCCCCCAACCTTTTGCCTAACTTGCACCCTCTGGGTGTCTGCCTTTTGCGCCCCCCTCAGATGTGCCATCCCTGTTAGGTGAGACTCTCCAGACCTCTTGCTTGCTGTATCATCCAACCCTGGAGTCTGTACAGAAAGTCCCTTGTCCTCTCACCTGTGACTCTGTGAGCCCCTCTACTCCAACTGTAGAAGTAATTAAGAAAATAGAAAGTGCGTGTGTTCTATTTTCTAAACACTTAAAAATGGAATTATTGACTCACAGTTCAACAAGCACTGATGGAGAACCCTTTGTGTGCTCAGTGCTGGGTTGGGCACTGGGAGCCAAGGTTCTTGAAGTTTCGTTCCCAGGCCCTGGGAAGCTTGTAGCTTTGGTGGGGTAATATCGTTGCCTGGGATGCACGACGGACTTAGTTTCCTGGGAGTGTAACATCTTCAGATCTCAGAGTACTTTGCTGTTATTGCTGCTACCGCCTGTTTTTAAACTGGGAAGACCTTGGCTGGACTCATTTCCTGAGCAGAACTGTGAGTGTGTGGCCGCCCTGTTACTCAGATGGGATGGGAAGGAAAGCAGGAAACAACGCACGGAGGAAGTCTCTTGTCTCTGCAAGCCACATTGTCCTAAGCACTGTCCTCTCTGCGTTACACCACTGCCTGGAGCTGGATTCAGTAGATGGGGGTGTGCAGAGCAGGAATGAACTTCACAAGTGACTTGTGGCCATCAAGGAGAGAAGCTGCCCAACACGGTCAGTCTTGGTTCCACTGGCTGCAGAAATCTCTGTCCAGATGGACTGAGGTCACCCTCCTTAGCAGAAGTGGCCTGTCTGAATCTGCCTTAGGAAACCTCCAGCTCTTCAGCTGTTTTAATGAGGCAGGAGGGTGAAGAGTTTCAGCTTTGCAGCCAATTAACCATTTTATGCAGGAATTATAATTGTAAAGGTGTTGTTTCATCTCAAACACACCACAAAACTCATAGCATCTAGTTATAAGACTGGAATACTCTGAGTCCACCAGGCAGGTAATAACATCTAGCTGTTACCTGGGACTAAGATTGAGAGTTCATAATCTTTTTTTCTTTTCTTGTAGTGGGAGTTGAATCTAGGGCCTCACACATGCTAGGCAAGTGCTGTACCACTGAGCTATCTCACTGGCCCCTTTTCATATTTTGATACAGGGTCTCACTGAGTTGCCCAGGGTGGCCTAGAACTCGTGATCCTGCCCCAGCCTGCTGAGTAGCTGGGATCACAGGCAGCCTTCTGATCTTTTTGTGTCGTGGCCCTCTTTGAAAGTTTTTTGAAGCCCATAGATCCTTTCTCAGAATTAACATGTCTTGATGCATAAAATACAATACATGAGATGACAGAGGAAAACAATTTTATTGAAGTACTTGTCAAAATATTTAAGACAAATTTGTGTTTTAGTAATACTGTGCTTCCTTATCAACACATTAATAATAAGATATAATGGCAGGTCTAACAATTATTATAATTTCTTGGTAGCAATGTAAATGAAGTTTCCCATAAATGAAATGTACAGTGACTAAAATGTGAAAATATGTGTTATTTCTATTGGGGACAAAGTCCCAGGCACAGGTCACACTGCACTGGTTTGTCCCTTACTTTCACAATGGGAAGAGATTTTGTATTTCGGGAAGGTTAATGAGAATAAAAGTGGATTTTTTTTTTTTCTCATACACATTCACAGACTCTAAATTCTCTTTGTGGACTCCAGAGTAAGAGCCACCACATTTAGCCAGGCACCAGTGGCTCACGCTTGTAATCCTAGCTACTTGGGAGGCTGCGATCAGGAGGACTGTGGTTCAAGGACAGCCTGGGAGACACCATCTCCAAAATAACCAGAACAAAATGGACTGGAGGTGTGGCTCAAGTAGTAGACCTGCTTTGCATATGTGAATTCCTGAGTTCAAACTGTAGTCCCACCAAAGAAAAGGAAAAAAAAAAAAACCCACCACACTTGGACGATGGTCTTTATCTTGTCAATACCTGACGGTTTATAGCTGACTGTTTGATGGTATTGTTACTGTAAACCACACAGAACTGCTTAGACCTCAGAGCTGTGTCACCTGTGTGGCAGTACCCTATCACTCATCATCGTAGTGGTCAAGTTGATACAGATTTTAACACCTACTTCATGGGTTCAGCCATGTTCCATGGGATAAAGCCTACAACACCACAGGCTTCACCTGAGTCCCTTCTTGCATTACAAATTCTTGAACAATTCTTTTCCCTTCAGTCTGCTCCATCTTGTCTCCTATCAGTAATATATGGGACCTGTGGCTAGTGATGTGACAAGATATTTAGCTGCCTCTTGCATGGAGAAGATGACAAAGTGAATTAATTACACAGTTGTAGAGACATTCCTGTCACAGTATTCCGAGGACCCAAGAATCCATTTTCTTGGTGGATATAGGATACAGGTGAAGTTCCTTTTCACTGATCAATACCCTCCTGAGTCTTCTCTTTCTCCGTTAGTTGATGGACCAACAGTGGCAGCTCTGGCAGATGTCAGGGTCTCTGACCACAAACATTGCACATGGGTGGTTTAAACTGCAGACTGTGGCTACAGGCTGGTACTTTGCATGAATCTTCTGAGTCCTCTCAAAAGATGCCCTCAAATTACTGCTGCCCTTTTGAAGGGGTGAGAAAGGAGGAAGAGCTTGGAGGGAGGGTGGACTTTAAGGTTTTTTTTTGTTTTTTAAGTTTCTTTCTTTAATATTGTTCCCACCTCATTTTCTTATCATCTGTCAAGATGGATGTCGATCTTGACTTGAAATATTGTCAGGATTTGGAAATACTCCTGTGGAAGTAATGTACACCATAGGGTACTGGCTTTGGGCTAGGTCTTTTGTGAACTGGGCACCAGACTTTGACCTGGAACTTCCTGAGGGATAGTGGTTGGTGCTAGAAGGCCAGGGGTGGCCTCCACTTGACTCCCTGGGAGAGGCTGGCTATTTAGCATTTAAGTAATTATTCCCAGAGCATCATCACAAGTTGGCTGTTCGAACGCTGTGAATACAGATGTTCAGTCTTCCCTCAACCCTCCTGAATCGAGGAGAATGTTTCCATGTAAAAAGCTTTGACAGAAGAATGCTGAAACTAAATCTGCCTCAAGCCTGTGACACCAAATACTTCAGTGCTTCATCTAAATAGAGTCTGCTTTTAATTATCCACACGAATAAGAAAGGACAGTAGCATGGCTAATCCAAAAATCATTGTGTTTGGATTTAGAATATGTGTTTTATGCTTGACTTTTAGGTGCGCATGTCTGATGAAATAAATGATCCTCTAAGTACATTACATTTTGAAGAATTGACTCATAAAATTGTTTCACTTTCCTGGCTCTTCTATTGAAGAGTTTTCACTTTGCAATGCTGGAGATCAAACCCAGAGCCTTGTGCATGCTAGCAAGTGCTGTTCCACTGAGCCACACTGCCAGCCATGCATTTTCACTTTTTTCCAGAAGATGGTTTCACTGTCTCCTTCCATTTTCTGTTCCCCAGCCCCAAACTGACACTATGCACCTAGCAGAACTAAGCTATTCCTTCTCTTTAAAATCTTCCAGGTTTTGTTGTGCATATGGGATAAGTATAGTTTTAATTTTTTTATGTTTGGCAGACATCCCATCAAACAATGGCATAAGAATTAAGAACAAAGCCAGGCACCAGTGGCACACACTGTAATCCTAGCAACTTGGGAAGCTGAGAACAAGAGGATCACAGTTCAGGCCAGCGTTGGCAAATAATTCCCAAGACCTCATCTCCACCAATGGCTGGGTTCTGTGGGGTACGCCTGTCATTGTAAGATCTAGAGGATTGCAGTTCAAAGCCAGCCCAGGCAAAAAAAGTAACCAGGGCAAAAAGTACTGGAGATGTGGTTCAAGTGGTAGAGTGCCTGCCTTGCAAGCAGGAAGCCATGAGTTCAAATCCTGGTACCACCACCAAAAAAAAAAAAAAAGTTAAAAACAGAGTTTCTAGAGGCAGACAGTCTAAATCTGAACCTTAGGTCTGTCATATGTTAGCTGTGTGACCTGGTGAGGGTTGTTTAATCTCTCTGTGCTTTAGTTTCCTTACCAGCAAAATAATCATAATAATATTACCTACTGCATAGGATTAATGTTTATAAAGCAGTCAGAAGATCTCTACCGTACATCTAAGTAAGCATATGTAAGTGTTTGCTACTCTTTTTGAAATGAAAAGAAATATGAGTTTTTCACTAAGTATTTCTCTGGCACTTAGCATTGTATAAAGCTGTCTAATTTTAATACCATAAATCAGAACCTGAAAAGCGATGATCTGAAAGGAGGTAGGGTGGGGAGATGGCAGGTAGAAGCGACAAGCCTAATACAGACGACTTAGCTGGATTTCCTTTTAATTTTCAAGTTCTGCGAGCAGCTGTGGCCAGGAATGTGTCCGTGGCCGAAGGAAAGGAACTGGACCTGTCTTGTAACATCACAACAGACCGCGTGGATGACGTCCGGCCCGAGGTGACGTGGTACTTCAGCAGGACACCTGACAGCACCGTGCCTGCCTCGCACGTGTTGGCCCGGCTAGACCGAGACTCCCTGGTGCACAGCTCTCCCCACATTGCTCTGAGTCACATGGACGCACGCTCCTACCATTTACTGGTTCGGGATGTTAGCAAAGAAAACTCCGGATACTATTTCTGCCACGTGGCACTGTGGACTCCTGGGCACAACAGGAGCTGGTATAAGGTGGCAGAGGCCACTTCTGCCCCAGCCAGCGTGGGTGTGACCTGGCTAGGTGAGTGGTTCTGAGAAGTTTCTTAGCCTTTCTGGCTTAACCCCCTGTGAGCTCTGTGGAGGAGTCTGGGTGCTCAGTGGTCTGCCTTATGTAGGATTTCTTTCTATTAGGACGAGTGTGTTTTAGCTCAGACAGATCCTAAGCTGGAGGGGAAAGCAAAACTGGCTGAAATAGAATCTGGCAGACAAGGGAAATGTTTAGATAAGGTGGCCTTCTGTCTCAATACCCTCATTTGAGAGGATATAGTTTCCTTTTGTTGGGAGATTTGCCGGGTGGTAGAGTGCAGTTGAATGGCTCTTTGAAATGGATCTTTATCAGAAGGAGGGGCTGCCAGGCTCCCTCTCTGTGTCCTCCATTCCTAGGTGCTCCCTGGCAGGGGCTCCTGCTTTCCAAAGCCCAGTGGGCAAAGAGAATCCAGTGTCTTTTTTACATCACGCCCACAGTGATTTCATCTGCAGGCACAAGTTACATGCAGGGCCTTCCTGATTCCTGAGGCTCTTCTCTGGGGCTTTCTGAGCCCAGGTACTCTATTCACTCCGGGGTAGGAGCAGAGTTGCCCACCTCGCCCCACATTTTATGGCAACTTGTCATTTGTGTGAAGGTCACCGCGTGTCCTCAGTGTTGTGGCTTCTTGTTTTCTGCCATGCTCATCTTCCCCATCCATCTCTCTCTCTCTTTTTATTTCCCCCATATGTTTGTCCACAGGGCAAAATGTACACTAACTTTTCCTGATTGTTTTTAGTGGCTTACAATTGCAAGTAAAGTTAGGAGGGGTTGGGCCAAGTAGGGTGTGGGGAGCCTCGCTTCCCAAGGTGGGGCAGGCCTCTGGACCCTTCCTGCCTTGGACTCTATCTCTCTACTGTCTGTGAGGGCTTGGGGCCCGGATGAAGGCATTTGGCATTAGCTTTGACTCTCAGGAGGCAAAAGAGGTCTTTAAAGCCCACGAAGTGATGGCTTCTGTTATCTGATGCTAAACTTCCTCCCGCTAGGACATGTAGCTCTTACTTAGCCCTTCCTTATCTCTGCGTAGAGATCTTCTGTGAAGTTAGTGACGGATTCACTGACTGTTTATCCCTAGTAGGACTTTATTTGGCAAAGATGGGGAGTTGGCAGGCAGAGACAGAGGGGGCAGGGAGAACAGTAATCAAGTAAGCAGAAGGGACAGTCCAGTTGCCATTGAGACTAACAGGGTGTTCGTCATCCCTGTTAGCAAAGTTGTCCTTTGATATCTGGAAAGCAAAAAGCTCTTATCCGGTGAGCTTTCATTCCTGCCGTCTGAACCGTGTGTGAGAGACTCACTATGAAGTACTGGACTGGAACAATACTGTCCCTGCTAGAACTCTCCTTAGCAACCTTCAAAATAAAACAGATGTTGTCAGCACTAAAAGAAAATTTTTCATCTCTGGAGCTGAATTTGTCTCACAGCTCTGATCCTCCGTGCATTGTGTGGCACTGTCAAATCCCAGAGCTGGCTCACCCTGGCCCCTCCCCCTCCAACTTCTGAATCCCAGCTTGAGAATTTTTTTTTTGAAAGTGCTGCCTGCACTCCAATTTGAGGATTTCTTTGAAGTATTCATGTATTGATCCCGGCATACCCTGGGGGAGGTTCAGGCACTGTCAGACAGCTTGGGAGGGAGTGGGCTCTTTTCACTGGAAGGGATTTGATGGTGGCTGTGTTCTCCAGAGAGTGAGAAGAAATAAAGCAACTCGATTGTGGAAAAGGTGCACTTATTATCCTAAGGATCCTGTCTGTCACTTGTTTTCCCACGGAGTGCCAGCACCATCATGGTGACAGTGATCAGCGTGCTAATGTAGAGGGAACCCCAATGCTTTGCAGAAAGTAGCGTTCTGCAGATATTGGCTGAATAGGTAAATAAACCAACGTGGATGGTGCTAAAATATGTGTGCAGGAAAACCAAAATTGCAAGCACTAATGTTCAGATTGTAGAATGTTCAAAGATGTTTGCACACGAGTTAACCTACCAGGCGTGTAAGTGGGATGAAAAACAGCAAGATTCTTTGCTTTTCTTCCCTTGATCATCTCCTTCCCCATGCCTATGACTCACACCGCTGCAGCTGCTTGGACCCTTGTCAGGAGATGACTTGGGCAGGAACACAGCAGCAGTCATTTAGTCAGGACCTCCAAGCTGCAGTCTCTGCCCAGAAACCGAGGTGCCTGGCCTGACACTGAATGTCTCTGGGAATGGAACCTGTGTATATATGCATATGCATTCCATACTCCATACATCTTGGGGCCTCTAGGAGGTAATGAAAATGTGACCAAAAGGCCCAGGAAAACAGGTCACCTGACAAGTACATAGGTCATCTTAGGTGACTATAGAATGTATCACAGAGTCACTCTTTTCTTTCTTTTTTTGGTGGGAATGGGGTTTGAACTCAGGACTTCATTCTTCCAAAGCAGGTGCTCTACCACTTGAGCCCCAGTCCATTTTGTTCTGGTTATTTTGGAGATGGGAGGGAAGGAGATTGAGGGGAGGGGAGGGAAAGGGAAGGGAAAGGAAGAGAAGGGGTGCTAAAACTGGATTCGTATGCAGGTATGACACAAAACTCAATTTTGCCACAGGTTGAGAATCATAATTATCATTTATTGAGCACTTACTGTGTGCCAGACGTTGGGCTAAGGACTTTATAGGCATTAAACACCCCTGTGAGTCAGATGCTGCTCCCTATCCCCATCTGAAGCTATTTTTTATTTTGCTTGTGATTTTGAGGGTCAGGAATTGGGGAAAGACTGAGTGGCATTCATCTCTAATATATAGAATAACAACCAGGCCTCTAGTTTTCAGGGTCCACTTCAAGGTGGTTTTTGTGTATGTGTGACACCATGCTCCCAGGTCTCTCTCCTCACATCCACGTGGCTTGGGCTTCTCCTGGCACAGTCTGGGTAGTCACATTTTCATGGTGGCTGCCTTCCAAGAGACAAGAATCTGCCAGGCCAGTTAAAAGCGATGCCTGGAACCAGCCTTGGTCACTTCCACTTTTTTGCATTGAACAAAGCCATCTAGAGTCATCCAAGTTCAGGAGTGGAACAAGAGTCCCCTTTAGTGGAAGCAGAGTCATAGGGCAGAAGGGCGTGTAGGATCAGAAATGCTATGGCCATCTTCGGAAAATAGAATCTACCGCTGTGGTTAGTGCTTGTTTCTTTATTTCAAAAGAGGTGTTTGGGATGGCTTAGAATTACGGCCCAGAGTCAAGCCTGTTTTAAGCGTTGTCATCTTATGTGTGAACATCTTTGGCTTCGGGAATCGGCTGATCGTTCCTGTCCTCATCTGTTGGGAGTTGGTGCCCTGGGTTAGATGAACGGCTTGAAGTGGATCGAGAACTTCTCAAGTGTAAGCTGGGAAGACCTCAAAGCCATGATGTAGATGGGTCTGGCAAACCAAGAAATGCCTGTGGCAGGATCATGATAAGTTTTTTAAAGGGTGAGAAAGAAAGAGGCTTTCCTACCAAGGATTTATGTGTACTTTGAAGGGGAAAAAGATTTAAGTTGCCTTGCAAAATGAAGCACAAAGCAGGAGACATAAAAATAAAATCAAGATCAAAAGAAGTGAAAAAAAAATCAGAATAGATACTGCAAGATGGTTGGGGTGAATTAGTTACTGCATTTTGAGCACTGAATTTCCTTCTGAAGTTTTGAAGGGTTGAGACAAAAAGCGATGTCATTATACAGTTGTCCTCTGAGGAAGGAAAACATAAACTCTTTCAGGGAGACAAACTTTTTCTTGGCACTGAATTTATCACATGCTTTTTTCATTTCAGGGGCCTCGGATGAGATAATGGACAGTGCTTTCGACTGTTCTTTTCTACAAAAGGCCCTAAATGATTGTTCAAATGGATGTTTCTTATATCCACCCTCTCTAAAAGCTGAGGGCGTAAATCTTAAGTGTGTGAAGGAGTTTCTGTAAGGAACTGAATTACCACGGGGGACAAATGTGCCTTTGTGTTGATCCAATTTAGTGTATGGGTAAAACTTAGAGAGCCTCACAGAATGGCTAGTTAATCTGCACATTAAGCCATCTCTCTCTGCTATCAAATGTCTTAAATGAGCCTTTGGCAAGAGCTGGATACTGATCAGTTCATGGTTGAGTTCTCTGCCCGAACTCTGCAGTGTTAATTGGAGAGGGTGCCACGGGCTTCGGATGCGAGAGCAGGAGGAGGCAGAGCTGAGTTCTGCTGTTCTGTCTTAACCGATTTGCATTCTTCCCCACTGGAGGGCTGTCCCCTCTTCCAGCAGTGTGCTAGCAAGGAAGGTAATTATTTTTCTTTAACAGGAGCTGTTGATTGGCTGAGTACTTTAGAAACTTCAGAGTTCTGTGCCATCTATAGGAAGTCTATAAGGTTTTTGAGGATGATTGTTACTGGCTGTCTACCCAGGATTATCCCTGAAACCAGCAGGGCACGTGGCCAAGCATTGTGTTGAATTCTGCTCCACTGTCTCCTAGGTGTGTTGTCTGGGCATATTACTAAACAGTTCTAAGCTTTGGCTTTCTTGGTGTAGCAGAACAGTGGGTATAAAGTACTTAGCACAGTACCTCGCACCTAAGTGCTCCATACATTTCTTGGTGGTAGTGATGATGATCGACTGGAGTTTGATGGTCTTCCCCACCAAGTTCTTGGGGCGTAGGATTGTGTAGTTGGGCGTGGAAGATCAGCCTGGAGGAACTAGGAATGTGTGTGTTCGAGAAGCAGAAATTCTGAAGACAATTGAGTTGAGCACACCCAACCCTTTCCTGCACTCAGTGTTCTGTGGAAGGACTCACAGCATTTGTCTTTCACTTTTAAAAGTAGGAATTTACAAATATTCATAGTAAAAAAAGTAATCACCAGCTTCAACAACTATCATTTTGCTGATCTTATTTCTCTTTCTGTTCCTGGGCATACACAGATGCATAAATCCACACACACATACACACACTTTGTTTTTAAATCTACAAGAGCATAAAATGTACCCTAGACACTAGACATCATCCTTTTTTTTTTTTTTTTTTTTTTTTTTTGAGACAGGTCTCACTGTGCAGCCCTTGCTGGCCTTAAACTTGTGATCCACCTGCTTACACTTCCCAAGTGCTGGGATTATAGGCGTGGAGCACCACGCCCAGCCTCTAGACATCATATCATTTTACCATTAAATACTTCAGTATGCATCTTAACTGATAAGCATTTAAAAACTGTAGCCACCATTGCATTCTTAGCTGTTTTCTTGATGAGATCAAGCAGACTGTAGCAGTAATCAGTGGTGAGATGCTTGTGCCCAAAATGAGCATTTTTATGCAAAGTATTAAATTTTAGTTCAATTCAGCAGTATGTTAATATCTTTGATGTACAAGGCGCTGCACGCCTAGCACGTGCAGAAGAATACCGTGGGTAGGCCCTGGCTCAGGGAAGAGTCCTGTAGAAGGTCCATGCTGACATCCATACAAATAGCTGTAGTTCAAGGGCAGTGTTCAAGTAAAATCCTCAGAGATTGAGGAGGCCGACAGGTGGTTGGGTTTCTATGAACACTTGCCGAATAAGAAGTAGACGTATGATGTGCTAGGCAAGTTCAAAGACATTTCCTGTTATGGAGGAGAGGCTACTCAGAACAGGCATATGCACTGGGGGCCAGAGAAAGGCACAGTCTTGGAAAACCATTTTTAAAACTGCAAAAGAGCATGAAAGGACAATTTCTACACACATATCAAAAATGAAGTAAGAATGTGAAAGTAGGAAAGTTCACTAAGCAAAAGAGAGAAAACTCCCGCGGTAAGGGAGGGGCTCTGAATGGGTTGCCCATTCTTCGCTTTTAAAGGCTGTCTAGAGTGAATTGTATGCATATGGACCGCGTCTTCTTTACCCACTCCTCCACTGACGGCCACTTAGGTTCACTCCATCTCTTGGCTGCTGTGAAGAGTGCCTCAGGAGCAGCTGCCATCTTCCATCATGATTTTAACAGCTTTCGAAAAGGTATCATCTCAGAAGAATATGCCCAAGGGGTGGAAGTAAACCATGAAAACGGAAGGATTTATTATTAAAGCTTACTTAATCTGGTAAGGGACAGAAGAGAAGTCCCCAAGGGAACATGCTGGCATTTTCGATTGCACTGGTCAGTTGGAGTGCAGTGACAGCTGTGTGGTGGTGTCAAAGGACTCCGCAGTGTCATTGCTGGCATGGTACTTCATGTTCCTAAAAAATCTTTCTGTTGGTCAGTAAAACTTAGAAGGCACAAAGTTTGGAAAGTAGTTTGTTTCACTATCTTGAAAGACAGTAGATGGGATACAGCCTTGGGACCAAGTCTGCCACTTTTGAGCTATGTGAGTACATCATTAACCTTTTAAAGCTCTATCTTCTCTGATATGAAATGGGGACTATGAATGGTGAATGATAGGAATTTGTTCATGTGTATATATATGTGTGGCTGTATTTACAACACACACACACACACACACACACACACACACGCCACACGCCACACGCCAGGCACCCACCTAAGCACTTTGATACATGTTTTAACTCCTCATCCTTACCATAACATCGTGAGGTGTAGTTACTGGATTATCCCCATTTTTACAGCTGAAACACAGAGAGGTAATGTACTCACAGTTACACTGAAGGACATGGCAGAGCCAGAATTTGATCACAGCCTGCCTCTAGAGCCCTAACCCTTCACCACTGCTCATTAGGGCCTCACGCACGGTGTGTGGTTCAGGTTGAAGCTGGGATGCACAGGAGGGATCTCCGTGGTGCTTGTATGGACTTGAGGTTCTGTAGGTGACTGCCACTGCTACCTGCAGATGGTTGACATCGCAGTGGCCACTTCAAACTTACTACTTCCATGTTCGATGACCTTAGCTGTACAGGTCTGTGTCCAAACTTAGACTTGACAGAGTTGTTGCCAGGGAGGCCTGTGGTGTGCCAGCCCCCTGTCCCCTGGCAAGATGCACCCAAGAGGGTGACCTCCATGCACTGGGCTGTGCAGGAAGAGGCAGGCAGGAGGCTGCTCAGGTCTTTTCCAGCTCTGCCACTCCATCATCCAGTGCTGTTTCTCCAAGGTGTCCACATCAGCCAATGTGCTCTCTGGATAGAAGGGGCAATGTTAGTTTAACTCTCTGCCGAGTCCACCCCACCTGCAATTAAATGCTTGTGAGGATGACATTTTGAGGGAATTAAGATTTCGAGGTCTTTCTATTTCCTGGCTCAGTGAATCGTTCTTGGAGGAGTCGTGGTGTTACAAATTTCATTAGATGTGTAAATCACAAAAGAACAGTTCCTGACCTCAGCAATTTGTAATCTGTGTGAGTCATAAATAAAAGCAACGTTACATAAAAGTAAACTGATGGAGGCACTGAAGATAAAGATAGTGTTGGCAGATGGAAAGTTCTAGTTAGGGAGAATTATTTTTCTCCTAGAAGGCAAAGTGCTACAGAAGAAAAATACATCCTTTCCCAAAAACCACAGCATGAGGTCAACAATGTACATTGAGTGCCTACTGTATTCCAGAGTCAGTCTTGGTTGAGCATGGACACTGAGGTTCTTATGCGGTCTTCCCAGGGACTCTAACCTCCTGGAGAAAATGATAGGTGACCCCAGTCCCATGGAAAGGTCAGGGTTCTGATTGAGTACATTTGGCTTCTGGCCTTGGGAGTTCTTTTAGGGGAGATCTAAGAGGAAGTTCAGCTTTGCAGAACTCTCTTACAGGACCCTTCCCATCCAATGCAAAGACTGCTTTCTGTCCCACAGGATACATGATGTAATTCTTAGAATAAGAACAGTCCCTTGTCATGTTCCTTTTACTAATTCTTAGTATGTTGATTTTAACCTGGCCCCTCTCTCTTCTGTTCAGAACCAAACTACCAGGTGTACCTGAATGCTTCTAGGGTCCCTGAATTTTCAGATGATCCCACAGCACTGGAGTGCAGGGTGGTGGACATGAAGAGCGTGGAGGCGAGTGTCCGCTTCACAGTGTCGTGGTACTATAGAGTGCATCGGCGTAGTGACGATGTGGTGCCCAATGAGCTTCTTGCGGTCATGGACGGGGACTGGACGCTGAGGTATGGAGAGAGGAGCAAGCACCGGGCCCAGGATGGAGAGTTTATTTTTTCTAAGGAGCACATGGACACGTTCAATTTCCGGATCCAAAGGACTACAGAGGAAGACAGGGGCAATTATTTCTGTGTTGTGTCTGCCTGGACCAGGCAGCAGAACAACAGCTGGGTGAAGAGCAAGGATGTCTTCTCCAAACCTGTCAGCATTTTCTGGCCATCGGAAGGTGGGACATTCTTCTGGTTCGTTGTCCATTTTTGTTGGTTTTGTTTTCTTTCTTTAAGAGTGAAGGAAGATTAGTAGCCACAGCAGGTAAGGAGCACAGGAGTTTTTGTTTTCTTAAGTCATCCCACTGCGTGTTTTTGGATACCCAGCCAGCCTACAGGTTACACGAGGAAGCCAGGCCCTTACACTAGGGAACTGAAATGACCACATGCCTCTCTCAGCCCTCTTGGACTCACTGCTACCTCTACTAAACCCCCAAGCCCCAGCAAGGGCCCTCTGCAACTCCCAGTCATTGGTAAAACCTCTTCTTTCCTGAACCTCCTTTGTCTGAAGTTCTTTTCTTTTTCTTCCATTAATCATTACCAACCTCCCACTGAGGTCACTCTGCCTGCCTAAGTGGTGGCATTTTCTTCCCACATTTCTCAGATAGCTGGGCCCTCCCTGTTCCTCACAGTGACTTCCAGACCATTTTCCCTCAAGATTATTCCCCAAGAATATCCACCTTCTCCCTAATACCCCAGATGGTACTACCTCAGCACGTCACTATCGCCTATTGACTCCTCCATTCATTCGTTGGATATGTCAGCCTTGGTTTCATGGCCGTCCTCTTCATTGCTGTGCCTGTCTTGCTAACATCACTGGGACGTTAAAGAAAACAGCCCTGCGTGGACCTCACCAAAAATTCTGCTCTAATTGGTCTCAGCACAGTCTGGGCACTGGTATTTGATCCTTACATGCAGCCATGGTTGAGAGCCTCACGTAGAAATCTTTTTATTCCTAGTTGGTGCCCTGCTTTCCTCTTTCTAGGCATTATGTCCTCTGTCCTATTTTGGTCCTTCTTTCAAAATACTCTACATTAGACTGGCTCATTTCTGATAACTGAAACCCCATCAGAGTCAAAATTTCAAGCCTCAATTTCTCTAAATAGCTCATTCCTTCTACTACTTCAAAAACAACCTTTTCAACCCTGCCAGGACTGATTGTGCATGGGTCCTACCACCTGCCATTGTGGTAGGTCATTCCTGTTTTGTCTTCCCTTCTCTCTTACCTAGGGTGACCATTTACTCCACCCAGTCCAACTTACACCTGTTGTCCTGGTGTAATTATTGTAACACTCTCTTTCATTCTTAGATGTGTCTAGGGGTGGCAGGTAGGGAGGAGTTATGTCAACTATTGTTAATTAACCTAAATTCTAGTCAGTCTTGTCACCATGTCACTCCCTCGCATACATGCTTTTCTTTTCTTTTCTCTTTTCTCTTCTTTTCTTTTTTTTTCATACTGTCTCAATATGTAGTCCAGGCTACCATGAACTTAAGATTGTTTTGTCTCAGCCTCGCAAGTCCTGGGATGCATTTATCTTTAACTCCCTTATCCATCTCTTCGTTTGCCTTATACTGTGACTAAACCATAACCCCATTCAAAGCCAATTTTGGGTGCTAGAGGTGTGGCTTAAGTGGTAGAGCATCTGCATAGCAAGCACAAGGCCCTGAGTTCAAACCCTAGTATCACACACGCATACACAAAAGCCAACTGTGCTCCTACTGAGCTAAATGTAGTGGAGAGAACCATTCAAACAATGGTAACTGGTCTCTCTTTAACTGATCTCATATGTCAGGTGGCTTCTCTACATTGCCTGGCAGTCATTTTACCTTTCCTTAATTAATATGTTAACTTCCCCACTCCCTTAAGTAATTATTGCACACCACTTTCTCTGTCTGCAAACCTCATCTCCCAGCCTCTATCACCTACTGACCCTGCTGCTTCTTTCCCTAAAAAGAAAAGACAGTCAGAGAAGTTCGACTTGCTCAACCCCAGTGCTGAACCCATGTTCCTTGGCCTTAAGAGCGAGAGGCCACCCTCTCACTACTCAGGCACATGGCTTCTCTCTCTTATATTCTCTTTCCTCTGGACTTTTCCCATTGGCCTGTTAACCTGTTAGATCTCTCTTGATCTCTCTGTCTTCCTCTCTTCTCTTCTCGCTCTCTCCCCTCATTACTCTTATCTCTCTTTATGGTCCCTATAATCCTTGCTCACCTATTAACTCTCTCTTTCCTTTTGTAGCCACAGTATTAGGTTGACCTATATTTGATTTCTCCAGCCCTCTCTGGTACCTACTGTAATCATGCTTTTCCTCTAGTACACGTGTTAAGATTGCCAGAGATCAACATATTGCAAAATTCAATTGTCAATTATCTTACTTGGCAGGAGTGAGCACAAGTGATTGTTTCCTCCTTCCAAAAATACTTTGTTTTTCCCCCTGCTTGTGGGCATCTCCTCCTCCAGGCTTTCTTCCACCTCACTGGCTGCTGCTTCTCAGCCTCTATTTCTGGCTCCTGTTCATCTTTCCAACCCCCAAACATTACACAACCTCAGGACACAGGCCTCAGATTCTTTTGCTCCCTTGGTATTCTCTTCTAATCCCTGAACTCACATACCCTCTCCACATCAGTGACTCCCAATTTTGCATTTACCCCAGAGCTCTTTCCAGAACTCCAGACATAATATTATGTTGCCTTCTTGTCTAATTGTCTTGTCTAATGGGCACCTCAAATTTCTATTCAAAATGGTGCCTCTGGTCTCTGCCAACTGTCTTTCCTCAGCCTGCTCTAGTTCCATTGTTCTAATTGTTCCAATCACAGCCTTCATCCTTGACTCCTCATTCTTTTCATTTTGTTGTGTTTTGCTAGGATTGAGTCCAGATCCTTGAGTCTGCTACATCAGTGCTTTGTCTCTGAGCCCCAATCCCGTTCTTAACGGTGACTTAGAATCTGTCCCGTGCTCCACTCTTATTTAGCCTCTGTCCGTCATCTCTTGCCTGTGTTGTATCTCCAGCCTCCCAGCTGCTCTCCTGGCTTCTGTTCTTAACCACACCCTTAAGGTGCAAATCTGACCATGAAACGCCTCGGCTCTAAACCTTCACTCAGCAAAGCCCAGCATCCTGTCAGTGGCCTTGGGTGCCCTATACAGATTGACCCCCATTACCTTCTGGCCTCACCCACAAGTCTCCCAGCACCCGCTCCACTTGGCCCCTCTGCCCTTTCTAGGGTTTCTAACATCGACATGTGTCTCTCTGCCTGGAAAGCTTTTCCCCAGAGGGTGCAGGGCTCCCTTTGCTCACCTCCTTTAGATCCTATTGAAAGGCTGCCTTCTCAGTGGAACTCTTATCTGTAATTGTGACTCCCACACAATTGAAACCTATACTATTTTCTCTTCCCTGTCTGATTTTTTTTTCTTAAATTATTACCACCTTGCCAAGCCACATATTTTGCTGACTTGTTTGGTTTATCTTCCTCCACTACCATATAAATGAAAAGCTTTCCGTGTGTTCAGTTCACTGTTGTATCCCCAGTGCTGGTAATATGGAAGGCTAACCATAACCAGGCATCTAATTAGTGAATGGATGACCAAATTCACAGGAGGCTCAAGAATGTGGATGGCTCAGGGAACCTCAGACACCAATGACCCTAAAGAGACATGTAGCATTCATGTTCTGCTAATGGATTTGGTGCTAGAACAGCTATTCCCCAAAAAAACTAACATGAAACTCTTATAACTAGGTAGATTCTAGGATTAGTCATTGTAGTAAAGGATAAAAAGAATGGGTCTAGGGCTGGGATGTAGCTCGGTGGTACAGCGCTTGCCTAGCATGTGTGAGGCCCTGGGTTCGATCCCAGCACCAAAAAAGAAAAGACAAAAAAAAAAATGGGTCTAATTCATTTATTCATCCATTCGTCAGATATTTAAGAGCTTTCCAAGTACCTGACACTGTGCCACTAAGTAGATGGTTTCGTGGTTTCAATGTGTATATGCTTAGAGATTACTGTTTTGACAGAGCATCAGAAAGAACACACTGAAAAGCAGTGTCACGTAGCCATAGACACCACTCAAAATGTTAAAGCAGCATTTCTGAAGTTAGAGTGCAAACCAAGTGTTAGTGATCAGATCTACAACCGCATACACTCCCAGAATTTGAGTAATAAGTCTGTTCTCTGTGTTAACATCAGAGGATTAGGCAGAAGAAAGCCATTCTCCTGTGCTGTGCTCCCACATGGGTGCACTTAAGCTCTGGGTACTTTCCCTGCACTCAGCAGACACTCAAGAGTTGGAAAGGCAGATGGTAAGGCCATCAGCCTAGCCTTGGTTTCAAGTTCAGCTGTGGTCCCTCCCCAGCCCACTAAGACTAAATTCTGTCTTCATGCATGTGTGTGGGGGGCACCTTTAGCTCCCCAAATTATCTGCACAAATTGTCAAAAAAACCTTGAGATTCCTCCCAACCAAATTCTCACCATCAATTGCCTATCTCTGTGCACCATCAAATTATTTCAGTCTGCTTCTTCCTGTGTGCTGGTTTTCAGCCTGCTTTCAGAAACGTGATTTTCTTTCTCAGTTTTCAGATTTTCCCCAGTGCTTCTGTGTGGCAAATTGCAAATAAATTGCTGTTTCTTTGACAGTTTGCTCTTAGATGCACATCCACTGCAACCAGTCTTAATGGTCCTCACCTGCTTCTGATTCTTCATTCCAGATTCTGTGCTGGTGGTGAAGGCGAGGCAGCCAAAGCCATTCTTTGCTGCAGGGAATACATTTGAGATGACTTGCAAAGTATCTTCCAAGAACATCAAGTCGCCACGCTACTCTGTTCTCATCACGGCTGAGAAGCCCGTTGGGGACCTCTCCAGTCCCAACGAAACCAAGTACATCATCTCCCTGGACCAGGACTCTGTGGTAAAGCTGGAGAACTGGACAGATGCATCACGAGTGGATGGCGTTGTGTTAGAGAAAGTACAGGAGGATGAATTCCGCTACCGAATGTACCAAACTCAGGTCTCAGATGCAGGGCTGTACCGCTGCATGGTGACAGCCTGGTCTCCTGTTGGGGGTAGCCTGTGGCGAGAAGCAGCAACTAGTCTCTCCAATCCTATTGAGATAGACTTTCAAACCTCAGGTGAGCAGGGGCACGCTGTCGCATCACGGGTTGGGCTGGAAGAGTGTCTGAGGCTGTCATTACATGTCCTCATTTTTTTTAAACAGCTTTATTGAAGTAGAATTCATATGCTATTCAGTTTGCCTATTTAAAGTAAAAGTTCAATGGCTTTTCATATATTCACAGGACTGGACAACCATCACCATAATCAATTTTAGAGCGTTTTCATAACACCCAAAAGAAACTCCAGATCACTTAACTGACACCCTGTGACCTCACCTCCTATCTTCCAGCAACCAGTAGATCTACTTTCTGTTTCTACTCTGGATATTTCACACAAGTGGAATGCAATGTGTGCTCTTCAACTTTAACTAAGTGTCCTATTTCAAAGGTCACCCACGTGGTAGCATGTTATCAGTATTTCATTCATTTTTATGACTGAATAGTATTCCATTGTATGAATATGTCACATTTTCTTTAACCTTTCATCCATCAATGGACATTTGGGTGTTTCCAGTTCCTGAATGTTTTAAACAATACTGCTGTGAATATTCATGTACAAGTGTTTTGTACATGTATGTTCTTATTTCTGTTCTCATTTAAAAAAAAAAGTGGAACTCAGGTATATGGGATTCTTCAGGAAACATGGTGGAGTATAAAGAAAGAGTGGAGGGAACTGAGCCTCCAAGTTGGGTAAGTGGCTTACATGAAGTGAGATATTCAGAGCTGAGTCCTGAGTCTTTTCCAGTTGCCTGGCTGTCCAGCCTTCTGGCCCTCAGGACTGAAGGAGGTGACTACTGTTCTTAGCCCGCCTAATCAGAGTGGGGCTTCCATACGGGGATGATTCCCAGCCTTACTCCTTACCTTGCTTTTGGATTGGAAAACAGATTTCCTACACCTAGTCGAGTCACAGAGCTGCAGTGATAGGGGTGGACATGTCTGTCAACTTGATCTGTTAGGAATAGGTATTAATGAACACAAGGACATTTTTGTGTCTGTTCTGGATGATACTATCTTTGTCAGCTAGATGTCGTTATGCTGTAAGGCAGAAAGTTTCACTTTTGTTGTTAGTGTAGGTACAAGGTACATATTCTCAAATAGAAATACGTCTTACTCATGTCATTCATTAAGGTCTCTGACAAATTGTATGTGTGTGCACTTCAGCAGAAGATGAAAGTTTAAACCCTCAGTCTCATTTAGAATATCAGTGATGAATTATCATTTGTGAATTGAAGACCGAAAGTTTTCAGTAACTCTGCCCTGGGTTCCAGTTAGAATTTTTATTTTGTTATTTTATTTTTTATTTGCAATGCTGGGGATCAAATCCAGGGCCTTGCGTATGCTAGGCAAGTGCTCTGCCACCAAGCCAGATCCCTGCTCCCCCGACTAGAAATTTCTGGGTGTTTAAATTCATACTCATCTATAAAAATTCAGCCTTTAATTGAATCAGCATAACAAATATGTTTGAATTAAATAAAATTGACATTTATTTTGTTAGGTAAGTTAGGCACTAATAAAGTTTATTTTCCATAATATTATTTTGTATTATTTTGACCTTTTGTATAGTGAGATAATCTTCTAGCATCTCTTGACCTTTAAGTTAATAAAGTGTAAATATGGATTTTTAGCTCTTAGATTTGGAAAGGACAGATAAGCATAGACCTCTCTTATTGTTATCTGTTCATTTTAAATAACAGCTTTATATTGAAATACAATTCACATACCATAAAATTCGCCCATTTGAAGTGTACAACTCAGTGGTTTTTAATATATTTACAGAGTTGTGCAACCATCACCATTACCTAATTCCTGAACATTTTAATCACCCCAAAAGGAAACCCCATTCCCATTATTACTCACTCCTATTCCCTCATCCTTCCCTTAGAAGCCGCGAGTCTACGGACAGAAGAAGTCTGTATAGACTTGCATCTTCTGAACCCTTTTGAGTTGACATGTGAACTTTTGTCACTGGCTTCTTTTACTTGGGCAGAGTGTTTTCAGGGTTGATCCATACTATAAAATACTCACTTCTTTTCATGACTGAATAATATTCCATTGTGTGGATATACTGCATTTTGTTTACTCATTCATCTGTTGGTGGACATTTAGATTTTTTTCTACTTTTTGGTTACTACGAATAATGCTCCCATAAACATTAGTATTTGAAAATAATTCTGTCATTCACTTTTGTAATGGTATCCTTTGAAACATCAGTTTTTTTGAGATACTGAGGATTGAACTAAGGGCTTCACACTTGCTAGGCAGGCCTACACCTCCAACCCTCTTTTTCTCTTGTTTTTGAGATAGGGTCTTGCTCTTTGTCCAGGCTAGCCAAAATCACAATCTTCCTATTTAACACTTCTCACCATTGCTGGGATGATAAGCGTGGTCAGCCATGTCTATCTCTTTCCCATTGAAATGGAGTCCTGTGAACTTTTTTGCCTAAGCTGTCATGGAGCGATGGTTCTCTCAATGTCACCCTCCTGTGTAGCTGGGATAATGGGTGCATGCCACCACACCCAGCTATTGGTTGAAATGAAGTCTTGCAAACTTTTTGTCCAGGCTGGGCTTACACCATGATCCTCCTGATCTCAGCCTCCCAAGTAACTAGGAATACAGGTGCAAGCTACTGGCACCTGGTCAAAGTTTTTCATTTTATTGATGTCCAGTTCATCTGTTTTTTCCTTTGGTTGCTTGTGAATTTTGACATCATATCTAAGAAATCATTGCCCAATTCAAGGTCATGAAAACTTATGCAAGTTTTCTTCTAGGAGTTTTATAGTTTTTACTTTTACATTTACAGCTGTGATCTATTGTGAGTTAAATCTTGTGTATGGAATAAAGAAGAGCTCCAACTCCATTCTTTTGCTTGTGGCTCTTCAGTTGTCCTAGAAACACTTGTTGAAAAGTTTCTGTCTTCCCCATTGACTTGTCTTGGCACTCTTGTCAAAAAGATCATTTACTCATAAGTGTATGGGTTTATTTCTAGACTCTCAGTTCTATTCTGGTGAGCTATGTTTCTGTCCTTAAACCTGGTTGAAGGAGCTTTGTAGTTAGTTGAAGTGAAGAAATGTGAGCCTACTAACTTTGTTCTCTTTCAAGGTTGGTTTGGCTGCTCTACATCCCTTGCATTTCCTTGTGACTTTTAGGCTCAGTCTGTTAATTTCTGTGAAAATGATAGCTGGCACCTTGATAGGGTTGAATCTGTAGACTACTTTGTGGGGTATTGCCTTTAACAGTATTACCTTCCAGTCTGTATGTGAGATGCCTTTCCTTTTATTTATATCTTCTTTAATTTCTGTCAGTGGTATTTTTAGCATATAGATCTTCAACTTCTTTTGCTGAATTATTCTGATAAATGGAATTACTTTCTGAATTTGCCTATCCCTCTGTTCATTGCAGTGTGTAGAAACTCATCTGGTTTTTGTATGTCGATTGTATATCCTGCAACCGTTCTGAACTTAATAGTTCTAATTGTGATTTTTGGGGTGTGTGTGGAGTCTTTACAATTAATCTTATTTCTTTTTCTTGCCTGATTTCCCTGCTAGAACCACCAATACAGTGTTCTCTACAAGTGGACATCCTTGCCTTATTCATGATCTTAGGGAAAAGCATTAGGTTGTCTACCATTAAGTATTATGTGAACTGAGTTTTTCATAGAAACCCATTATTGGGTTGAGGAGGGTTTCTTCCATTCCTACTTTGTTGAATGTTTTTATTATGGAGAGGTATTGGGTTTTGTCAAATGCTTTTTCTGTGTCTGTTGAGATGAAATGGTTATATGGTTTTTGTCCTTTATTTGGGAAGCTATTTTGCCATCTGTAGGGGTCAGTTCCATCTTGTTATACATTTGTTACTTGATTGCTCTTTTAAACTGCTGTGTGCAAGAGGGGAGATATAAAATCTTTTACATATATTTCTGGGTAAGAAATAGATATTGAATCTATTTCTCAATTCTTTAAGTCTCAGCGAAACAGATAAAGTCACTGTGGCTTCTAGGCTGCATAGACTTTCAGGTTTCTTCTTTCTTTAATTGATGATGTTGTCATGGCCAGTTACATTTGAATTAGAAGATACTATCAAATGAGTGCCTGTCCCAAGGCTGTGGCCCTGACCAGCCCCCAGCAAATACTAATTTGAAGCTGAGATCCTGTACTTCGTAAAAGTGAGCAGGCCCCTTAAGACGCCCAACACAGAGGTCCTTCCAGTGCCCACTTTCCTGTTCTCTGGTCTCAGGGCACCTGCCACTTGTGACTGAGGGCTGTGTTTCCCCAGGGAACCTACTCAGTCATGGATTTTACTGACTTGATGTCAAACGGGGAAGTAAGATTTAATGTGATGGTACAGGCTTTGGCCTTTTAAAAGAATAATAATAAAAATTTTTTCCTTAATGTGGAAAATTTGAATATAGAGTAGTAAGGTAGTAGGAAGAAGGAAAAATAGAGTCATTTATAATCCTAGCAGAGACAAATCTGTATTGTTCCTCTTCCTAGAATTTTTCCCTTGTATATTTCATCTTGGCTGTATATATTTGTTATGACCTGCTTTCTCCCCCTTTAATGTTGTAAGATAAGCATTTTTCCTGTTACAATAAGTTCTAGGTAAATATTATCTTTAATGTCTGTCTAGCAGAATCTGCTTATCCATTACCTTATTGATGAATGTGCAGATGGACTGTAATTTTTGCTTTCACAAAAATACTGCCATTATCATCCTTTTTCTAGAACTGAGATTAGAACATGGTTTATGTCAGTGTTTGTGTAAAAAGCTAAGTGATTCCTATACTCTTTGCAGACTAGGAATCAGGGGACCCCTAGTGACTGGTCATTCACTTAAATTCTCTGTGCTGTCTTCTGTGAAGTTAACCAGACAAATCCCTGCACAAAAATAGCATTACCACAGAAATTGGCCATAATACAAATATTTCCTTTTTTCCCACTTTTTCATTTATTAACTTTAATACATATGTATTTGATTTGTTACATTGTGTCATTTTAGCCTTTCTTCCCGTGCTGTGAAAAAAAGACACTGGCTATTTTTATAGTGATTACATTGAATCTGTAGTTTGCTGTTGTTTTTTTTGAATGAGTTTTTTTTTATTATTGTGCTGGGTGGGGGTACATTGTGGCATTTACCAAAGTTCTTACAATATATCAAATATATCATACTTGAATTCACTCCCTCCCATTCTCCTTTATCCCCCTCCCCCCAATAAAAATATTTCTAAGCCTGGGATGATGACCCATATGAACAGTGAGCTATAGATTTCATTAGACGGACATCCACTACTGTGGCTAGTTCACCACAATGAAGGCCTTCTTCCTGGTCCTTGTCTGCATGGTGAGCCATAGTGCAAACCTTCCCTTGATTCCCACAGCCACAACCAGAAGGGGAAATGAGAACTAACTTGTGACCTTGAAGGCATTTTGGGTTTTCTTTGGAAATACAAAGAAAAAGTGACATTTTTCCAAATTAGGTAAGTCTTTGTTGTTTCAGATTAAATAAATAGAAGCATAAATCCATTATGAGGATTTCTTAGTGCTTTGACATTTTGTTTTCTCTTAGAAGAGGCCTGAAGAAAACCTCTTGACATACAGTTCCATTTATTACCCTGTTATTTCTAATCTGAGAAAAAAAATACAACCCCATTGTTCACCATGGCTGGTGAGCCCTGAGCTCACAGATGGACACGTATGGCATAAAGCTTCCCAGTCATCACCACAGAGCCACCCAGGGCAGTTAGCCCAGTCCTTCCTCACTGTTATGACAGACCCACATCCAGGGAGGTGAGGGCCTAGGGGAGCCAGCGCCAAGAATTGAGATAGCAGAAGGAGGTGATATCCAGAAGTTCACGTGTCCTCGCCCTCTGCTTTCATCCCTTTTCCTATGTCCTGAGTGGCCATTCTGTCATATTCTCTATCCTTCTAGAGTTAAATCCCTCCTGCTGCTCTCTGGCTAATCAGAATTCTTAGCAGTTCCCATCCTGGGCTGCCTAAACCCCTCTAGCCATATTCTAAACCACCCTTTACCTTTCTCCCAGGGAAAATATATTATTCATATACTTGGTGTTGGGGAAGCAGTCTAATGAATTTGTCTTATTAGTCATCAAGTTGATTTGAAAATGCAGCCATTTCAAACAATTGTCTCATCAAATTGCCTGACCTCTATCTCCTGAATGCTTTTTTAAAAAATTACTTTGGGATATTTTTCATTTCTGGTAATCTGAATAAGAAGATAGTGACACCTGTATTCTTAACTCTTTTTTTTTTTTTTTTTTTGGAGGTACTGGGGGACTGAACTCAAGCCCTCACTCTTGCTAGGCAGGTGCTGTACCACTGGAGCCACTCTGCCAGCCCAGTATTCTAACTTCTAATGAGTTTTAGAATCTGCGTCCAGGGCCATCTATCTTTGCTTCCCAGGAAACTCAAGGGGAGTGAATCCCTTAGCACTGATGTTCTGGAACCTTCTTTCAGCTTTCCCTATTCTAGAGTTTTAGGAATTGGGGTAGTAAGGTAAACATTGAACCCTTAGGATTAGCTTGGCTTAAAGCTAAGAAATGCGCTCACCTAAGATATTCATAGACATGTTAAAAGCAATACATGACAAATACTGTATAGATGGAGGTTTTATTTTTGTTTGTTTTTTTACTGGATCTTATATCTAAGAGCATTTGTAGGTTCAAAGCAAAATTGAGCAGAAAGTATAGAGAGTTCCCGTATACACTCTGCTTCCCTGACCTAGGTGGTCTTTTAAAGGAATATCCTGACTGCCTCAATTTCTCCTCACGGGCTGGAGTCATCCATGCCTTCAGGGCTCTCACCATACTTTTTAGAAATGTCTTTGTTGGCATGTCTGCCTCCTTACTGAATTTCAGCCTTTTAACAACAGGTCCCCGGTCCCCACCAACCAGGACAGCACAGTGAGGACACTCACTCCATTGGAACCAAAAGCATCTGTGATTCAGTCCTTGTCCCTCTGGTCTCCGTGCCACTTTGGCCTAGAATGAGCCACACAATACCAGAAACAACCCTAGCTCTACCAACATGGGAGGTAGAGGCCTTCAAATAAGACTTTCTGATTGTCATCAGAAAGAAGAAAAAGGAAAAGCCAGAGGCAAAAGTACCTCTTTAGGAAGAGTTCTATTTTGGTTTAATCTCAAGACACAGTTCATTGAATTTGCCTAATGCACACATCTCTCTGAATAGAAGAAAGGCAACCTTAGGTACCTATTTTGTGAGTTTCTAGACCTGTTCCCAGGAAAGGGAACCATTTAATGCCATTAGAGTGCCAAGAATGGAATTTGAACATGTGTGAAAGGAATTAATGAGATCGGCATTCCTTTCTTCCAGGTCCCATATTTAATGCCTCTGTGCATTCAGACACACCATCAGTCATCAGGGGAGATCTGATCAAACTGTTCTGTATCGTCACTGTCGAAGGAGCGGTGCTGGATCCAGGTACCTCCCTCCACCCTTTCCCCTTGCCATACTGCTTTCCATAAATGTTTCTCCTATCATCCCCTTTGTGTGACATAGATGTGGGGACCAGGGATTAAGTAGTCTGTTTATTCCCACAATGCCTGGCTAGGTATTGACTCTGTTGAATGGATGTATGTATCTCTTCCATGATTTGGAAACATGTCCATGTAAGTTTTCAGGGCAATCAATAGGTCTCCTCCAGGCTTGATGCAGGCTGCTTTGAAACTCACTGCAGGATCCTACTCCTTCTCTGTGTCATCCATTCATTCATTTAGATGTTACTAAGCTCTCATCCAAGGCACAAGTACTGCTGTGGGTGCTAGGAATAGAGGAGTAAACGATGTGCTCAGTGTCTTCCCCCAGAACACTTGCAGCCTAGTTAAGGGCATGGGCAAAAAAAAGAGCAGTTAGCACTGTGAAAAAATACAGAGTAAAAGTAGCACCTGCGGGTGCTATTACAGAATTTTTAGGAAATCTTGTAAGTATTAGGAAATGACAGCATTGCCAACAGGATGCCAAAGAGTTGTGGAACCCATCCATGTCACATCTTTTCTGCTTGTCCCCATTCAGTGATGTCTCTCTTGAATCCTTAGAGCTTGAGAGTCACTTAAGGTGTCTGTGTTGCTGAGCAGTACCCACTCTGCCTTTTCCCACAGACCCCATGAAGAACCTTATCCTCCTCTGCCTGCTTTAACCCTGGGCACTCTTGTCCTGCTCCACCCCACCACAAACAGCCCTGGCTTCCGGCAGATTTGCACCTTGAAAAGACCAAATTGTGCTGGATTCCAGCATTTCTGTGTGGAGACTGCTGGAAGTGTGGCCCTGGGTGGGGAGGGAGGAGGACAAGAAGCAGCTTTCATTCTGTATGAGGGGTCAGATGCTAATGCAAATGCACAGTGGTCTACAGTGAAGCCAGAGTGAGTACCCAGGGCCTTGCTGACATCTGGGAGTGAAGATCTAGATGGCCACTACTGTCCAGGAGGATGTCTGGCTCCTCCGGGCCTTCCAGTTGCAGGTGCAGGTAGCAACAAACATTTTCTGTGAAGGACACAGCAGGAAGGAGTTTGGCTCTGTGGCAAATGGTCTCCACTCTGTTGCCATAGCAAGAAAGCAGCCACAGACAACAGTGTCAACAAAGGGCGGAGCTGTGCTCCAGTGGGACTGTTTACCAAAACAGCTGTGGGCTGAATTGGACCTGCAGGCCACATCATCTGATTGATATCCACCTTGGCTGTCTTGGGGAAAGTGGAGATGGTGCTTTAGAGGTAGGAGGAAGAAGCTTGTAGAAGATGTAAGAAAAGGAAAAGAAAGAAACCCCTCCAAACCAGTGCACCTGGTTAGTTCTATTTATGGGGGGTCAGGAATGAGGACCCTGGCCACTGAGTGAGTGAGGGCCACTGTGTGCTGAGACTGGGAAGATTGGGGACACAAAAGTAGCATCAGAAATAGAACCGATGGTGAAAGTAAAACAGATTGCCTGGGACAGGGCAGGGGCATTCTTTATAAAGTTAGTATAATGTAATGCCATTTTTACCCTTGAAGCTCATTTGTGTTATATCAAAAATAAATCCTTTAAATGCTCTTTCTCAGTAAATTAGCAGGTCACAAGTTGTGCTTTTCATATAAAAATTCCTTTCTTCCAGTGTAATTGTAAAAGCCATAGATAGCTGATATCTTACAGATCACAATTTTCCAGAACTTTGCCTCCTGGAAGTGTGGGTAGAAGATTCTGAATAATTAAACATAAATTATAATTTAGTTTTCCTCATGAGTCCTGTGGGCTGAGGGAATTCTCATTTGGAAAGTCGGGTAAGTGGGCTGAGGGCCAAGACACACCCGTGCCATGAGGGGATGGGAGCAGCAGAGCATGGGTTCTTTAGGGACTGAACCTGAGCCAAGGTGCCAGTGATTGACTGAGGGATGCTCTCAGGAGAATCCAGTGAGAATGCAAGGGAGCAAAGGTAGAGCTGGGGAAGAAGGCAGGCAAAGATATGAATTCAGAGCAAGTCTACCTCCACAGGAGCTCTGGAACATGAGTGGTACCAGAGCCCTGCCCACCTTGAGCTAAGGGACCTGGGCTTTTATATCCGTAGCAGTCTGTCTGTCCAGAGGCTGAAGGGCTGAGGAGTGAGAGTGTTTCCATTTGGCATGTCCATGCGGTGACTTTAGTCCTTGGGAGCAGGTACAAGTGTGAGAGCTTTCGCACCTAACACCTGCAGCAGGGGGAGGGCAAGCACACCAGCTGGTCCAGGTGGGGCCCTGAAAGCATTGACTGTAGGTGCTCATGCAGCATCTACTTGTAGGACCATGGGTGTCCTACTGTGGTGATCATGACATTCATCCAGGTCACTGCAACTTAGTTTCCTCACCTATAAAATGAAAATCACAGCACGATAGCTTAGAACAGTACCTCGGAGCATAGTGAGTGCTTAATAAAAGTTGGTCACTCTTAATGTCGTTATTAGTCAGGGAAACATGGCTGCTGGGATTCTAGCCCTGGTAGCCCACCCTATGCTACATGCTGGGGAAACGGGGACTAGGATCTGGCCACAAGTAGTGGAAATGCATCGTGCCTTCCTTTCGGTTAGCCACCCACACCTGCAGGTGACAGCAGCGATGAGCTGTGCTCCACTGAGCCTCACAGATGATCCGTGAGCTCATTCTGCCCCTTGGCACCACAAGCAGATGAGGAAGTTTACAGCACTGGCTCTGCCCCCCCAGACATGGCCTTCTTGATTAGAGATGACTTACGCACTGGGAACAAGAAAGTTTTATGCTTAAGTACCACAGTGGGTCACCGGAGAGAAAGAGATGGTACTTTTCAGAGTCAGCTGAAAAGACATTAATATGTAAATGTCTGAATATCATCTGTTTGCCTTATGTGCTATTAGAAGTTCTTCGTCTACTTCAACTAAATCAATCAATGTTACTTTTTGATCAGCAAAAACTGCATTATTTACCATTCATATAAAAAGCCTTGGGCTGGGGGTGTAACTTAGTGGTAGCACACTTGCCTAGCATGCACAAGGCTCCGGTTCAATCTCCAGTACTGCCCAAAATAACCCAGCAACAGCAACAAAAAGATTGTGGCTCATGGTTTCATGCTTACCTGCTGGTGACTCTCAGAGGTGACACATCCGGTATCAGTTGACCCCAGTCAAAAGAAGAGGTCTGGTTTTTAGAATGTGTGCTTGGTTTTCACATTCTGTGAAAATTACTACTGTGTTGAAGTTTTCTTTCTCTCCTGCCCATATTAATTTATTTAAGGCTGTTAGAACCTTAATTTTGCAGGATATTTTATGACCCAGCAGCCTTACTCTCTGGGACTGTTAATTGTGTTTAATTTTCTCAGCTTGCCATTTTTTACCCCTCTTGTTCTAAACTTAAGCACTTCTGAAAGGGAGGGAAAAAAAAAAAAAACCCACAGAGAATGGTAACATCTAAACTGTTTACAACTCTGAATTTTGTATAACTCATTTTATGTGAAGGACCCTGATTTCTTTGGGACACAAAGCATCTGATGCTGCCACCTGCCAGTTTTACATTCACTGTTGTCTGTGGGAGGCACCATGGTCCTGAGTCTTCTTTCTGTGGCTCCTTAGACAGGGTAGTGGCAGTAGGGTGGTTCAGAGGCTGGACCTGGGACTGGGGATGTGACTCAGGCTCAAGGCCCTGGGTTTGATCCTTAGCACAAGAGGCTGGACCCTGAAGATGGACTCCATGGGGTACGCTGTGCACACTGCTCCCTCTGGCTGTGTGACTTTACCACAGGGAGGGACTATGATGGGATCCATCATAGAACAGAGCTGGCTTGTATCGAGGATTGCGCACCACACTCTATTATTACTTCTGCTCATTGCACTGACCCCGGTGTTTTGGTTTGGTAATCCTTAGATGACATGGCCTTTGATGTGTCCTGGTTTGCGGTACACTCCTTTGGCTTAGACAAGGCTCCTGTGCTCCTGTCCTCCCTGGATCGAAAGGGAATAGTCACAACAGCCCAGAGGGACTGGAAGAGCAACCTCAGCCTGGAGCGCCTGAGTGTGCTGGAATTCTTGCTTCAAGTGCATGGTTCTGAGGACCAGGACTTTGGCAACTACTACTGTTCCGTGACTCCATGGGTGAAGTCGCCAACAGGTTCCTGGCAGAAGGAGGCAGAGATTCACTCCAAGCCCATCTTTATAACTGTGAAGATGGATGGTAAGAATAACACACAGCTCTTGTGCTCTGTGTTTGGGGAATGTCTTCTCTCTGTGCCATGACGTAGCTGACAGAATCCAGGCTTCCACAGTTTGTGGAATGTGCCACAGCACATCCAGCTTACTGGCTCTCTAGGGCTGGCCTGGGCTTATACCCAGAAAGAGCAGAAGCAGTCCTTGCCAATTTCTGGGTTTGCTGTCCCATGCTGGTGGCACCATCAGGAAATGATTTTCAAGACTTACTGGAAAGATTTTTCCAGCCCTTGGCTCTTCTGTCATTCTGTGGAGCCCACTTCGCTGTGTCCTGAGGTTGGCTGGATTCTGCCATGCAGGAACAGAGTACAGTGTCGAGAGAGGGTAGATTAAGTGCCAGCTGTTCTTGCCTTCCTGTGGTTTCTCCTTCCTGGAGAAGAGAGGCTCCCTGGGCACAGAATGGGGACCTTATGGAGCTTGAGATGGGAGGGTGACTTCCATCTTTACTGGCCCGCACACACCACCAGTGTCAACATAACTAAACAGTCAGACCTGAGTTCCCTGACCATCCCAGAGTGGGGACCGTTGATTCACTAAGAACCATGGCTCCTATGCAAAAAGTGTCAGAAAGTAAATGATGTTTGAATAACCATGGAGAAAGATAAAGTCAGGTGCCTCCAAGGATCAGCAGAAGGCTTGGGAGTGTTTCCCCAGTGATACCTAGGAACTCCCACTGGTCCAACCCTTCCACTCATGGATCATGTAGCCTTTTGAACCATCTCCTCCCTTGTGAAGTGAGATAGTAATCTCTCACAGGACAGTTGTGCAAATTAGACCATGCTAAATGTAAGCACCTGGTCCGGAGACAGCATCTACCAACAGAGTGCTGGTACTTCGGGGAAAGGGAAGATGGGGCTTCAGGAGTGGAATCTAGACGGTGTTTGTGCATTCTGAAACTTCTGTCATCCGTACCATATTTGCATCTTAAATTCTTTGCTTGAAGTAACTCCATATGAAAACCCAGATTTACCGAACAAGTAGGGGAATGATTATTCACTTTGCTTGGTAATTTACCATAGTGTTACTTAAAATAGCTCCCTCAGTACACTTCAGTTATTTGATACATAGAATTGATTTATGCACAGTTTTTTTTTTTAAGAACGCATCTGCTGCTGAATGTGCGGTGCCCTTATACTGACTTTTAAAACTCAATCTCCTGCCAAAACCCTAAAAAGCAAGCTGACATTCAAAGGCAGAGAGTGAAATCTTTTCACTGCCCCTCCCACCACCCAACAGAACTGGGTGGGGTAGACATTTGCTCATTTTCAACAGATGGCGCTGGGTGCTCCGGTGTCTGCAGTGCTATGCTGACATAGGAGACCCGATCTCCTGGGAGAGCCCCAACCTGGCAGCACTAATGGCCTCCTCCTTGTTGTCTCCCTCTACCCCCCTAGTGCTGAACGCCTTCAAGTACCCGCTGCTGATCGGCGTGGGGCTGTCCACTGTCATTGGGCTCCTGTCCTGCCTCATCGGGTACTGCAGCGCCCACTGGTGCTGCAAGAAGGAAGTGCAGGAGACACGCAGGGAGCGTCGCAGACTCATGTCCATGGAGATGGACTAGACGGCCACTGGGGGTGGCCGACAGAGGGATGTTCTAGGAACGGTGGGGGTGAGAAGAGGACAGTGATGTTTTTAAGCGAAGTGTGTCACACTACAACCAGTCCTCTCTAATCTCAGGTGGGACTCGGCGCTCTTTCTTTTCTGCATGTCAAGGTCCGAGCGCGGATATGTTTACCAGCACACAGCTCTTCTTCCCACGGCACTTTCTGATCTGTAACGATCGAGTGTGTGTTTCTCAACTGCAGCTTTTTAGCGGTTAACCTTTGTCTCATTTTTGTTTTTTTCCTCCTACCAGCTTATAGATCCTCCGACTTGTGTGTGTCAGTCGCTTTGGTTTTGAGGGGTTACAGTGAGGAAGGACAATGGCTTTCAGAGTTCTTTATGGTGGGTGCAGATGTGCCTGCCCCGGAGAGCCAGCACCCACGCTGGGGTCTGGGGGTAGGAGAGATGCTGACTGTGCCCTTCCATCCCAGCCTCCAGAAGACACAGATCTGACAGATCTGTGCCAAAGGCTAATTTGTGGCTTTTACTTACCCTGCCCCATCCCCTATTTTCAGGGGTTTTGACTACACTTAAAATCTCAACTTGGAGTATGTAACATCTCCTTGAATCCAGATGAGTTGTTTTATCTTTTATTTTTTTTTTCTCTGCCCCTCTTCCATTTCTTCTGTATTCATTTCTGTGAGAGTGAGGGAGTGGCAACCCTGGAGTCTGGAATTTGGCTTTCCACCAAGCACCTTATCTTGCCACCTTAGCCTTAAGAATGAATATGAATTAAAATACAGTGCCACCTGTCCAAGACCATAAGGATGTCTGTAAGGAAGAGGTTGGGGGCAAGGAAAGGAACAGGCACTCTCTGACAGTTGCAAGGTCACCGGGTCTCAGCGGGGAGACCCTGGGGAGAACACACTGGGATCCTGGGGCACCAGGTTTTTGCAGCCTAACTTGGGAGAGCTAATGCATCCAGGGCCATATTTTGCTGAAGAAGTCCCTCTGTCTCTGCCACGCCCCGCTTGCTGCCCCTTTCAAGAGGCAAAGGCTTTGGCTACCAAGGGACTTACAGGGAATGCACAGAGAAGCTGTGTCCTTCACGTGCCACTTGGGCTTCTTCACATGAAGGCACATTGCTGCTTAGAAGACTGACTGACTCCAAGGAATCAAAAATTGCCCAGAGGAACCGTGTGCTTTCTATGACCTTCTCAGTCCTTCATGCCTTTTTCAGCTTCCCCACAGGGGGTTAGTGAAGAAGGGTACACTTTGTGGAATGGTTACTTTCCTATTAAGAACACGAAGGAAACCCAGCAATTTACTGTCACGTGAACAGCCTGTAAAATAGGGTTGAGAGGGGTCCTCTTTGCCTGACTGCTCCCATCAGGAATAGGACAATGGGCAGAAAGAGATCCGCCCAGCTCCCTGGGCTGTACCTCCCCCCGCACTCCCCTCCCCCCCCCCACACAAACAGCACTTCCAGAAGTATCCCAGTGGGTTCTGAGGCTCACTGGTGACTTGTGCCCTAGTTGCGGTCCTCTGTGCTTTATTCTGGCTCTGAAGAATCTAACACTGCTCTTGTCTTCCAGAGGGGGAGAAAAGAGATTCATTTGTTTTGAGCAATAAAGTAATACAAAATGATGGCCATTCACGTGCAACTCTTTGTCACCATGGACTGGATGAGCCATGCTTCTCCCGGCTCCCCATCTCCTTTGCTCACTCTCTCTGCTGCCCATGATCAGTTCTGTGCTCAGCACTGACTTGTCCTCAGAGGCAGGTCCCACCAGGCTTTCCCTTTTGGTTTTGAGCACTGTGCAGACCACTCCTGTGACAGAAGCTGTAGGTTCTGTGCACAGGTGGAGTTTGGCAGGAAAACAGGGAGCAGGTGCACCACACCTAAGTGTGAGGGTGCAACTAGAAGAGGAGTAAGCTCTCAAGGCACTAGATTTGGGTATTTCCTACTCCTGTCATGTCCTCACTGTATTTTTCAGAGAAAGTGGGATACAAGTGATTTTACAAATGGGAATTAAAGAAAGAACACCATAAACAGGTGCTGCATTAGTAACAGCCAGTGTGCCCCTTGTGCCCTTGCAGTTACTAAAAGAAGATTCAGGAACATTGTGGCCCAGACCCTTCCTAGAAGGATGAGAGGGACTGTAGCTTTGTATGGTACCAGGTGTATGCAAAACCACAGACTGGGGATGCCTTGATGGTGAAAGCTGCGTGTGCTCACACGTTGTGCCTTTGCCTTTCAAACCCATGTTGTGGTTCAAGGTTGAGTGATAAATTGACCTTGGCCTGCTCGCCCCTCCCCTCATGTCCGTGGGGCTGCCCAAACCCCAAGTCAGCTGGGGACTGGGAAAGGGGCTGGAAACCCCAGGACAATTGTGCTAAGGACCTAGCTCCTTCCAGGGACATAAACTTTCCTGGAATGTGTATCTTTTTAAAAGTGTGAGATACACTCTTCTGTTGTAGCAAAAAGGGCTCCCACAAAGTGCTCTTCTGGAAAGGCCCTGTGTGCAGCACTGGGCAAAGGAAGAAGGGCCAAGCCAGGCCTCACACAGAGGACATTGCACTGCTTATCAGAACGCACCTTCATAGAAGGTTGGGTTTTTTCTAATCACATACATATTCCCACAAAGAGTCTCTGCTATGTTCCAATAGAAGCCTCGAAGTTACTTCAAATTTGTTTACTTTATGATGTTTACATACACATTTCACTTTTTAAAAGAAGAAAAAAATGCAAACTCTGGCTTTTTAACAACTTTTCATGGGAGGGTGGAACTCTGACTCACCAGCTGGATTAAATCCTAATTTAGAAATGTATTTATGTATATTTCCCCTCCTAGCCACGTGGCTCCCCCTGCCCAGACCTCTGTCCATTTCCCTGGTGGCTCTTGCCTCTTGCTTTGCAGACTGTCTGCAGCCATGATTTTGTCACTGACATCTGTGAGCCAAAGACTGAGCCTTTTGGCAGGAACAATAAGCAATACTACACAACTTGCTCTTTCAGAAAACTTTTTTTTTAGCTTCACCGATGACAACAGAAGAAGAAGGGAACTTGGACTTGGTAAGTTCTCCTCTGCTGTTCGACCAAATTCTCAGTGATAAATACGAAGTTGACTTTCTTTTTTAGTGTGGTATATAAGGATCTGCAGAATTTTCCATAGACAAAGAAAGGGTCCTGTGTATTTTTGTCCATATCCAATGTTACATGAACTAATTGTATTGTTTTATACTGTGACCACAAATATTATGCAATGCACCATTTTTTTTTATTTCATTAAAGGAAGTTTAAATTGAAGTTGTGTGAGGAACTTGATATTGGCCTCTGTTATCCTTTTATCTCTCCAGCATGAAGGATTGTAGCTGAATTTCTGCTATAATTTAGCTCGTCTGGGTCTCTTTGAACCCTAGAAAAGCACTGTAGACTTTCATCTATGAGAGAAGAAGACATGGATGTCATGGAATCCATGTTGAGGTTCCTACCAGGCAGAAAGATCAGGGCTGGGATCCTGTTTCTTCTGAAAGGTCTCTTGGCCTGGGTGAGTTCTCATGACCTTAACACGTCTTCTTGTAGGAAAGAGAAGTTAGATATTGTTCCTCTTTGCAGATGAGGAAACATATGCCAAGGTTCCATAACTAAATTATGACTAGAACAGAGTGGTTTTTCTGACTCATGATGCAGTCTGGAGCCAAACTGGGCAGAAGACACCAGCCCCTGAGACATCGAACCCATCCTCTTCTCCAGACCCTGGGCATCAGCAGACTTGGGCAGAAGCAAGTGCCACGAGCCCCAGCTCCCCATGGCTAGCCTCCCTGCTGACTCTTCTGTGACCTCCTTTTTTGTTTCCTGTATCTTTGTGTCCTGTTCGGGGACCGCCTCACATTGTGAGTTATTCAAGGGCTGCGTGTGTGTCCCAGTCACTCCCATTGCTCAGTGATTGGCATGTGGAAGGTACTTGGACTTTGTCAATGTACAGTTAAATGATCTGCTGTCAAAAATGACCTGTCGTCCCATGCTTCTCAGTGAGCTGTGAGAATTTGCTCATGTCAAAAGACTGATGCAGACACAGCTGGTCTTTAGCAATCCCTGCCTATTACTAAACCCATTCCTTCCTCAACTTAAATAAAAACAAACAAAAACATACTTGCACAGCTACCATGCACACAGGCATTATGCTCAGCACAGATACCTGCCACACACTTGCCTGTAGACCTCAGTACATACCATTCTCTGCAGAGACCTCTTCCCCTGTCCAACCTGTACTTCTTCAGCCCCCAGGGAGCCTGTTCTGTCTTCTAGGGTGACTGAGGATCCCAACAGAGGGCCTAGTGGTCTGAAATTTCCGTTAGGAGAGGCACCATTCACCACTGTGGCCTACAGTGTTGCCCAACTATGGAAACAGATAACACATAATGTGCTCGAATTGAAACAAGTACCTTGTAGTTGGTGTGGGTGCAAACTTTGAGTCAGCTCAAGGGGGCCATGGCAGAAGCTCTCAAGTGACAGCCACTCTGTTTCCTTTAACCTGCAGACCAGTGTGCATTACATACACCTAAGAGTTTTATTCTGATTTAAGCATGACAGGTTCAACCCATCAGGAGTGAGTTTGTTAAGCTCACAGGTCCCAAGGGAAGGAGACCTGCTACACCATGGGGACAGCATGGGGGGAGCCAGTGGAGACAGTTAGAAGGAAGAGAATAAGAAACACAGGCAAAAGTCTTCATTGCTTTTCACAGGGAGGAATTGGCCAGGTAGCGTGAGCAGGCTTGGGATTTGGTTAAGTTGAATAATTTCAGCATTTTTTGGGGCACAGGAACTACCTGCACCTGACCTTGGGGTAATTAAGGCATGAGGATAATAAGTCCTGAGTGTGACCAAGGAGGTGGTGGGTGTGGGACTGGGATAGTTGGTACAGAGGAAAGGCACACAGTTAGTTGTACAATCTGTACTGTGTCTAAGACTTTGCTAGTTCTGAGATGGATTAATGGAAACTGATGGTAAAACATCAAAAAACAGAAAGTAAAAGAACATAATTAGTACACACTCCCTGCTTAGGGTGTGTAGCCTGTTGAGATGTCCCTGGGTGGCCCAGTTCAGCCCATGGAGTCTCCTCACCTGAATGCTTTCTGTTATTTGTGTCTCAAACCAATTTGTGCCAGCAGTACTATGGTTACTATGATTGTATAAATCTATTTAATGGTATGTGAATCCATGAAATACCTACATCACGGAACATCAAGAAACGCTGTTTGAGATCTAGATGTAAAAGAATGAAGTTGGACTCTGACTTTACACCATATGCAAAAATTAACACAAAATAGATTGAAAACCTAAATGTAAGACTACAGTTGTAAAAATCCTAGGAGAAAATGTAGGGGGAAGCTTCAGAACATTGGGTTTGGCAATGATTTCTTGATTATAACACCAAGACACAAGCAGTAAAATAAAAAATAGAGAATTGGAACTATATCCGACTGAAAACTCCATCATCAAAAGAAACAACAGAGTGAAAAGGGCAGCCAGCGGAATGGGAGAAAATACAGATTACATATCAGGTAAGAGGTTAATATCTGGACTATCCAAGGAACTTTTTGTACAACCCAATTAAAAAGAGGGCAAAGGAATGAACAGATGATTCTCCAAAGAGAGTTTTACATACAAATGGCCAACAAACATCATTAATCAGAAAAGAAATGAAAATGAGAACCATAATCAAATAATCACTGGACATGCATTAGGATGGCCACTATCAACAGAAGAGAAAATGACGAGTGTTATCTTTGTGCAGGAATCCAGAGAAGTTAGAATGTGCACTGATGGTGAGAATGTAAAATGGTACAGCCATTATGGAAAGTGGTCTGAAGGTTCTTCAAGAAATCAAAAATAGAACTACCAGGATGATTCAGCACTCCCACTTCTGAGTAAATATCCCAAAAAAATTAAAGCAGTATCTCAGAGACATCTGCACATCCACACTCATTATAACACTCACAAACTCAGTACATGAATGAGTAGAGAAAATGTATACGCATATGCTGGAATATGATGCAGCTTTCAAAAAGAAAAATCCCAGTGTACATCACAACATGAATGAGCCTTGGTGACGTTACAGTAAGTGAAATAAGCTAGTCGAGGACAAATACGTGTGAGTCCTCTTATAAAGTGTTGAAAGTAGTGAAGAAAGTATAGCAACAGAAGGTAGAAAGGTGATTGCCAAGAGCTGGAGGAAGGGAAAATCGTGTTTAGTGGGTTTGGAGTTTCACTGTTTTGCAAGATGAAAGAGTTCCAGAGGTCTATTATACAGCAATGTGAGTATACTATTAAACTGTGTGTTTAAAAATTGTTAAGATGGTAGATTAAATGCAATGTGTTTTTACCCACAATAATTTAAAAAGGGATATCAATTTTTTTGAAAG